ATCTCTTTAACAGACAGCACGAATCATAATAGAACCATTTTGAACCGTGTTTAGCTAGGGTTTCTTTGGGGCAACAGCTCCTCTTTCACTTTGCCTCGCACGTACAAGGCTGCCCACGTTGATGGTGGTTGAGCGGCAGCTGCACACATCCCCGTGTGCCTTAACAGCCCACTTGCACGTTATAATAAAAGGCAGAGTAAAGGGGAAGGTATGCTCCTGTGCACTTCTCTTCAGATCTTCATACTCCTGTTCATTTCTCTTCAGATCTCCAGCTGTTCATTTCACTTCAAATCTCCAGCTGTTCATTTCACTTCAGATCTTCAGCATATGCTTAGTCTTTGTGTCTGTCGTTCATCTTCATACTCCTGTTCATTTCTCTTCAAATCTTCAACTTATACTTTGTCTGTACTCTTACTGATGCTCATTCGTATGTATTTCCTAGTTGCACATAAGGAGAGGGCGGAGGGAAAGGGCCAGGAGGTAAGTTTGTCACGGCGTGAGGTAGGGGGAAAGCAGAGTGCAAGGGTAGGGCAGGCGAGAGGTATATGATGGGCTTCGCAGAATTCTAAACACTCACCGCTGGAATAGCACATGAGGTTCATTGGTGTTTGGGTTGCACAAGATTACTATCTGATGGTCGGGCGTCGTGACAAAGCCCGATGATTGGAACCTCGCATGTATTTTGACGGTACTGTACGTTGAGATACATCACATGGTCAAGGTGAAATAACCACTTTCTCACCCAATTTCTGAGTTTTGCTCATGCTTACTGAGTTTCCCGCTTGTTGCTGAGTTTCTAAGTCTGTGCTGGTGCGCGCTTGCTGGGCTGCATACCTGTCTGAGTGCCTGTCGGCTTGAGTGTGTGACACCCGCAAGGGCACTTGTTTGTTCGGAAGGCCCGAAGGGCTGGTACTTACCTGTGGCCGTGACATTTGAGGGTTGCAGCGGGGAAAACACTCAAGTGGCGGGGAAAGAGGCCCGCTACACTTGGAGCAGCGGAAAACACTCAAGTAGCAGGTAGGCCGGTACCACACCAAGTAGAGGTAGATGTGCTGGGTACTCGAGGCCGAGCAGAAGAAGACAAAAGTTGGCATTTTTAGATGTGCTGGGTACTCGAGGCCGAGAAGAAGAAGACAAAAGTTGGCATTTTTAGAGACAGTAGTTGTAGACAAAAGTAGAGGTAGATGCGCTGGTCCAACCAGTCTCAGACTGAGTCTAGGGCCTGTACGGGCGATATCAGAGTCTGCAATGATGTTTCCCTCTGAAAGGGAGGAGGTACCGGTTGCTTGGAGGCCGCACGGTCTAGGAAGTTACTCGCCAAGAGGCAAGCAGGCTGCTATATCTCCAGGAGGAGCAAGGTGCTCCTCCTCATTGTCGATGCACAAGTTCGGCGACACACTGGTTGGAGCACTGGCTGGAGCAGCGCTAGCTTGGAGCAGCACTGCTGGGGAGGAGCAACGACCGGAGGAGAAAGAAGACCAGGGCTAGGAAGGGGGAGCGCCAGAGGTACTTACCTGGCTATGGTGGTTGCCATCTTCATCACCTTGGAGGGCGCTGCAGCAAGAAGACCCCAGCACGGGTAGAGCTACACCAAGAAGCTTAGAGGCAGAGTCAGGCATGGCGGCCTGAGCTAGAGCAGCCATAGCTGCTTGAGTTGTCTTCTGCACATCAGGGCAAGGCCCTAGCAGTCCGCCATAGCCTACTCGGCCTTCAAGAAGAGGAAGGAGAAGGGTGCCATGGCCTCAGCAGAAGAGGGATTCAGACATTGATTCTGGTTCAGCCATTCAACATTGTTATTGTTATTTCTTGGTTGAATAAGAGGGGAGGAGATAAAGGAGGATGTGAGTGGTTGGCAAAGAAGAAGAGCATTATCATTGGTCTATGCTGGTGTACATCATCTTCTTCTTCTTTCTTTCTTTCTTCTTCTTCTTTCCCTCTCTCTCCTCTCAAGTTCATTCATTTCTTTTTGCAATTGGACGGCGTTGTACTTTCTGATGAAT